TAACAAAATCGAGCCGTAATGTTCTGACTATTGCCCTACTGCCTCTAACCAACCGAGGCCGAAAGGTTCTCAGATTTTAAAATGAAAACCCTTGGCCTTAGGTATTACTTTCACGTGAGCCTTGGTATCTCCATTTCTTTTTTCACTTCTTTCTCTTCATCATGCGAAATCAGAAGCTTGAAGCTTCTACACTTTTTCTTCACTGCGGCAGACTCAACATTGGCGGCGAGTGCAGTGAGGTCGCAACTAGGCACGGTGAGGTCGCGGTGAGGGCGTCCTGCAACGGTGGTGTTTCTGTGAGGGTTCAAACTCCAACTTCTTTCTTCTCTCTTCTTATATTGGATCCAGGCCATTACCGATGGCCGTCCCTTGCTTGATCTGCCGGTAGTGAAGGAAAACCTCACAGCAGGCAAGGGGAAGCCGTCGTTGACACAGATGCAGACGCGAAGGGGAGTTCGACGGACATCCGGAGCAGGCCAATCGGCGACGAACAAGGAAAGCTTCTTCGCGAGGAAGATGGCAGAGAACGATTCGCAACGTGAGTGGCTTCCGCCGTCGCAGGGATGGAAGTACGTAGGGTTCAAAGGCTATTACCATTAATGGCCAAAGAAGTGTTATTCTCAAATGTGCTTCAGGGTCCTCATATCTTCTTATTTTTCTCAAATGAGTGGCTTAAAGTTTCTACCTTTTTTGAGTTTTTAACAAATGTGGGGTTCCTTTATTTTCAGATGTGGCCAAATCTTATTCAGAAGGCCAAGGAGGGAGGGTTGGATGTGATTCAGACTTATGTTTTCTGGAATAGGCACGAGCCTTCACCTGACAAAGTAACTCAAAGTACTAAATAGTGGTTTCTAATTTTTCTTTCTTGCATTGCTTGGACACTGCACGGTTAGTATGTGAATTGTGAAATAATAAATGTTGTTGCTTTCTTGATTATTGCAGTATTATTTGAGGGGAACTATGACCTGGTGAAGTTCATAAAGCTGGTGTAGCAAGCGGGTCTTTAATTATGTTCATCTCAAGATTGGTCCATATGTTTGTGCTGAGTGGAACTTTGGGTAGTGAACGTGTTCATTGCAGAAACTTTAGTGCCTCTCAAATTATTTTTCTGTTCTTGGTGTTTTCCTTTATGCCTCCAAGTATTCAACTTCTAATCTCAAATAAAAATGTTTCCCAAATTAACACTTGCAATGGCTTATATACTGTGATTATTTCTCTCCAAATAAGGCTTACAAGCCAAAGATGTACTAGTTTTTGGTGCCTTGTTTCTTATTTTTTTTAGTTTCCATGAGAATGCAAATTATGTGTGCTAAAAAGAAAATAAACACTTCTACTACCTCGGTTCAACTACAAACCGAGGCATAAGACCCCTCTACTAAAAAGGAACACCCTCTATTGCCTCGGTTCAAATACAACCGAAGCAAAAGGATACACCTTTTTGACCCGGTTCAGAACTGAGGCAAAAAAGGATAGACTTTTTACCTCGCTAGTATATACCTCGGTTGCGAAACCGTTGCCTATGAACGAAAATAACCGTTGTCTTTTACCTTGACTGCACTAGTGCATGTACTAGAAACAGAAAAAATGAGACTGTCAAGCTAACTCTCCACCCAGGCTTGAGAGACACATTGTCCTCAATGTGTGAAGAGGAAAAATAGGTCAGCAACAATTATTCAACAAGACACAAAATGTTGAAGAACTTCTACAAAATATAATTAACATCAATCAAGATTGATTACAAAATACAATCAATATTGATATTTATTTTCTCATTTTTGACAATTATTTGATATTAAAATAATGTTTTGAATTTGATGATGATTGAAATACTTTATCTAAACAAGAAAAATAAATTTCATTGAATTTGAATTACTTTATCCAAATAAAACATTAAAATATATAAAACAATTTAAAATGAGATCAATTCAAATTTAATATATTTAAATATCTTTAAAATTATTAAATTTTCTTAAAATACAAAGTAAAAGTTTTATTTTATTTTCATTCTGTGTTGAAATCTATGTTTGATGTCTATCATTGGATAAGACCCACTAACTATTTATCAACTCACTCAACTTGTCTTGACCAGGTGTGGGCCGACTTAGTTGGACCTAGGCCTAAGTAGAGCAAACTTGACCCACATAGCTAGACTTGGTTTTCAGGGTGTTGCTCCCTCCACCACCCCAAGTGCTCCTGCACCTCCTCACTTTTTTTTTTTATTCCAAAAATACTCTACACCTCCCCATTATTTTCTTTTATTTCAAACCTCCCCACTATATTCAACAATCTTTCTCTTTCTCTCTCCACATTAATGGAGCATTCACATGGCTCAGATTTAAACTTGTGATATATTGCAAAATTTTATTTACACTTTCCCTTAAATAAGTTTGATTCAATCTTATTTTCACTGTTCAATATATTTTTTTTTCTTCAAATTACTTAATAAATGGTAAAATTTTGTTCTAAATTTCTAGAAAAATGTTTATATATATATGTGTGTTTTTTTTACATTTAATATCTATAATTTTTAACATTATATTATGTTTTAACTTACCGACATGTTTGACTCAAATAACTTGAATAAAGTATTTAATTTATTAGATAAATAATATAAAAATATTATTAAATACTTAAAATATAAAAGAAAAGTTATTCGTTAAAGATTTGGAATTTATTTAGTTCTTTCGTCATTATAAAGTTAGTATATAATAATAATAATAATATATTATTTACTATTAATATTATTATGTTTATTATTTTGTATTTGCATCTAACTTTTAAGTTTATAAAATGAAAGTGGTAGAAGCACTAATATTGAAGTTTCCTCCGAATTTTATATTTTGCAATATATCACAAGTTTAAATCTAAGCCATATAAATGTTCCATTAATGCAGAGAGAGAAAGAGAAAGATTGTTGAGGATAATGGGGAGGTGTAGGGTATTTTTGGAATAAAAGAAAATACGGGGGTGTAGAGTATTTTTGGAATAAAAGAAAATAGTGGGGAGGTGTAGAGTATTTTTGGAATAAAAGAAAATAGTGGGGAGGTGCAGAAGCACTTGGGGTGGTGGAGGGAGCAACACCCTGGTTTTCATCGGGACAAGATTGACTTGGTCTTGATTAGTTTAGGATTGAGTTGGACCTAGCCAACTCGACTAAACGTGGCTTGGCCTCAACTTAGATGAACGTTGACCGAACTAGATGTGGGCTTGCTTCGACTTAACTCAACTTGGGCTCTACTCGTCTTAGTTAGATTTAACAGGCTAACTCTAGTCCACTTGATTGAGCTTGGACAAGCTCCAGTCGACATACACCAAAAAAACTTAGATTAATCCATATTTGCTTGGTCTTAATCAGGCTAGGTGGAACTTGGTCTTGATCAAACTTGGACCAACCTAGGCCTAGCCCAACTCAATTATATGTGGGTCGACCTAGACTCAGATGAATGTTGACCCACATCATCGTGACTGAATGTGGATTCGGCCCGACTTGACTTAAATTGGACCCAAATTAAATCTATTCAATCTTGGTCCAAATTGACTCAACTTGACTTGGGCTCAGGCCAACTTGACTAGACTTGGCATCAAGTCAACTCTACTTGACCTAGATGCGATCAACTTAACTCAATTAGAGCCCGGATCTACTTGGCTCAAGTCCTAAATTGACTTAACTTATACTCGAGTTGACTTGACTTGACTCTGATCAGTGAAGACTTGACCCGATCTTGAATTATCTTAACTCAGTGTTATCTTATTTGGGTTTGACCCGTTCTAACATTTTATAACTTGAAAATAGTAACTTAAGAAAATATTTTACAAATATAAAATAAAAAAAATCTTGAACAACTTTCACAATAAAAAAATAACATCAATTAAGATTGATCACAAAAGACAATCCATATTAATATCTTTCTAATTTGTAACAATTATTTTATATTTACATAATTTTTGAATTTGATTGTAATTAAAATACTTTAAATAAATCTCTTTGTTTCCAACGCAAAGAAAGGATGGACCGATTTGAGATAAAAGACAAAAACAAACGAGATAAAAGTGGATACCATTTTTTTTAAGGCTCTCCTTCCTCGTTTGCAAAGAAAAGCGGAGAAAGTCTTGAACATGAAAGTATTATAGTCTTTTATAATTTGATATACATGATATAATAATAATAACATTAATAATATTAAGCATTCCATCTAATAATAGTAATATATATGAATTCATATTTTAATAGTAACAATATTAATAATAATAATAAAAAGGATAATAAGAATAATATAAATAATAAAATATACATGAATGAAATCATTCACATCTCACCTCTCTCTTTTTCTCAAATCAACTCATTTCCACTCCAATACATCCTCCAATCCAAACACAAGCTTAAAAAAGTAAAACAATTTAAAATAAGATAAATTGAAATTCAATATATTTAAATATCTAAAGCTATAATAATGTTTGTCTAAATGCAAGGTAAATGTTTTATTTTATTTTCATGGGAGGTAAATGTTTTATTTTATTTTCATCCTGGGCTGAAATGTTTGTTCGATGTCTACCCATTAACTATGTCTTCAACAAAAAATAAAACAGTTACGTAACACAAATAAATAAGTTACAAACAGATAATTTTGACACTTTATAACCATAATAGAAGCTCAAGTTGATAAAAATCATGAGTTATTTATAAATGCTAGACAACAATTTGGTCGTCAAATTCAAATATTATCACCCATATTCATTAATCAAGTGTAATAATCCTATTCGGGAAAATTAGGTTGCAGGAACGGAAATCGTTAGTTTAGGATATTCATGAACTAAAGCATTTTAAATCCGAATAGTATCTGTTGACTGAGTAAAAATCCCAACCATGACAACATCTAACTGGAGTTCCCAATAATTGGGTGTCTTTTAAGAGAATGGGGGCACAAACAAGCCACGATTTTGAATAAAAATTAAGAAAAACAAATTAAAGAAAACAATATCCAGCACAACGATTGTAGGGATGAACAAATGAAACATCATCTGGTGATTTTATTTAGTGCTATATTATTGACAAAGAATACTAAAAAGGACTACCGAGGGTTATCAATCAATGTGCATTGTGAAGGGGTCCCTCTCAATGCCACAAGACTGCAGTGGGAAGCCAATATTTCAATGCTTGCCCATTCCTTGTCTGGTAAAATGTCACACACTTAGTTGAGTTTTCCTTTAAGATCAGGTAATTCCATTTTTTTCGGATAAATAAGGGTAAATCAAAAGAAAGTTGACTGAAAACCAAAATCATAAGCAAGAATTTCTTGCTGACTCCAAACCAAAATTTAAAGATGATCAATGATTGCTTTTGTAAATTCAGTTGTCTTTGAACTGCCACCAAGATCAGCAGTTCGGTACTTCCCTTCTGCAATTGTTTTGAGGATGGCGTTTTGAATCTGTTCCGCTTTGTCGTTGAGGTTCAAATGGCGCAACATTGTAACACCACTCAGCAGTAAAGCAGTCGGGTTTGCCAAATTCTACATATACAGAGGAAAATAGGTAAGCAATAAAGTACATCTCATAAAAAGAGCTGACGTAGGTTGTTGCAACCCATTGTGCAGGACTAGATACATGCAACCTTACTCCTCGACAGCAACCACTCAGGGTTTGTTCAGACGAACTAGCAACCACTAAGGATTTGATTAGACCAACTACTTTATAAGCATTACTAGGAAAATAAAAAATAAAATACGAAAAAAATAAATGAGTTTCTCTTATTTAGCTTCTCCAAAATCATTTTTTAATTTGTACATTAACTATTTTTACCTTATTAAGAAACTTATTTCATTTTTTTTTCTAATTGTATTTTTCTAAAAATGCTTAAGAAGTTTACCAAAAATAGATTCTAAGACGGGGGAAAACCTGATGGTTGTGCCAAATCCTAAACAAATATAGCTTTAATATAAGAGATCATTTTAAAAAAGGAAGAGAGAACATCAATATTATGTACAGAATTTTCTGAAGGGGAAACTCAAATTGGTAGTTTGCTTCTTTTTAAAGGACTAGTTTTGATACAGTAATAAGTATTCGACACCAGAGAAAATAATGCTACATATGACCTACTAATAAGAAAATCCTTGAATATCATTAAGCAAAATACACCACCAAAATTGAATAACAGTCAGACAAGAATGTCCAATACCATAAGTCTAAAAAGTGATGACTAATACCTCTAAGGTTTTGTTTCATCTTCAATTTCTAATCAGTTTCATGTTTTAGGAACACTTTTACATTCTCAATACTCTTGCTAAAAGCAGTAATCTTACGAGTTAGGTTTCAGCATCCCCATATTATAAATAACTAAAGCTGTTCATAGGTGATTGACCGTAAATGCCAAAGAAAAACTACTAATTGAAAGTAGAGACAATAATTATGTAAAAAGATTACATATATTAATATTAATCCATTAACGACTAGATTAAGAGATGAGAAGAAGCCAGAAAGCTTCTAAGGAGCCTACATTATAGCCCAGTGCCCCACCTACTTTTGGCTATCCTTCACTTAGATTATTTATCAAACAAGACTAAGCTTCTAAAAGAGTATGCAAGTTGTTAGGATATTTATCCTATTTTACCATCATTATATTGTGTTAAGAGTTACCCTATTTATCATGATTATATTGTGTCTAGGATCACCCTATTTATCATGATTATATTGTGTCTAGGGTTATCCTATTTATCATGTACTTTTGTATCAATTCATTCTTATAAATAGAAGATTGTAAGAGGGATCAATAAAGCCCTCTAGAATTATTTTACAGTTTAATTCTCAAGTTGGTATTAGAGCGGGTCGATCCCGCTCGTAATATCTGTCCGACGCCACATTCCGTCCTCACCCGCCACTGCCCGTCGCTGGCCACCATCCGGCCACCGTCCGCCGTCGTCAGCCACCGTCGTCCATCGCTGTCACAGTTCCGTTCGTCTAAACCCTTAGGGTTTTCTTGTTCCTCGCTGGTACTATTCGTCTTCTTCATAAATGGCGTCTGGCAGTACTCTTTCTTTCTCCGGAAGTCCATCAATTACCTCCGAGAAGCTAAATGGAAAAAATTATCTATCATGGTCTGCTACCGCTGCCGTTGAAATGTGGTTCCTTGGCCAAGGGCATTATGACCACCTTGAGCGAGATGGAAGCCATGTGCCTACTGAAAAAGTTGATCAGTGGAAACAAGCAGATTTCCAGTTGTGTGCCCTGTTATGGCAATCAGTGAAACCAAAACTTCTTGTATCTTTGAGGGCTTTCAAAACTTGTCACTCCTTTTGGAAGAAAGCCCAAAGCATTTATGGCAACAATATTCAACGTCTCTATGACACTACGAACAAGCTTGCATCTCTTAAAATGGCATACCATGATATGGTATCCTTCATGGCTGAAGCCCAATCTGCTGTCGAAGAACTCAGGATGTTTTTGGAAGTGGACCCATTAGAGGATATAAAAAAGAAACTAGACAAATTTTACATGGTGTTGATCCTTCGTGCCCTACATCTCGATTTTGATCATCTCAGAGATCAACTTCTAACTAGTCATGAGGTCCCCTCTATGGAAACATTGACCACTCGCCTTATGCGTGTCCCGATACCTCAAACTCAAGAAGCACATGAACTAGTGGAACCATTTGTCATGGTTGCCACACGAGGAAGAGGAGGACGTGGCACTAGAGGAGGAGGACGAGGAGGTCGGGGACGTCCTCAATGCACATACTATAAAAGGATGGGTCATACTCAAGAGAATTGCTACTCCTTACATGGTTTTCCTTCCAAAACCGTCAATATTTCGAAGACTGAAACTTCCACTTCGAAGACGGAAACTTCCATTTCTATGTTTTCTAAGGATGAATATCAAGAGTATTTAAGGTTAAAGTCTAACAGCTTAGCACAACCATCTCAATCTCCCAGTACATCAACAACCTGCGTTTCTCAATCTATGGAAGGTCAAAATTCATGGGTAATTGACTCGGGTTCTTCTGATCACATTTCTGGTAATACCTCTTTGTTCTCATCTATTTCCTTTCGAGAAAAACCTCATTTCATAACCCTTGCAAATGGATCTAAAACTTCCTCCAAAGTCGGCCATGTTTCTTTGTCTCCCTCCCTCAATCTCAACTCAGTCCTTTTTGTCCCTAATTGTCATTTTAATTTAATTTTCCTAAGCCAGTTGCCAAAATGTTAAATTGTTATACATGAGCGTGGTTCGGGGAGACAGATTGGAGAAGGATATGAAGCTGGCGGATTATACCATTTTGGATCTCGTCCAAGGGTGTCCTGTGTTGCTGCTCCTAATCCTAAAGTGCTACATGATCGACTTAGCCATCCTCATTTGTCCAAATTAAAAAAGATGTGTCCTGAACTTAGTGGTCTCCAAACCTTAGCATGTGAGTCATGTCAATTAGGAAAACATGTTAGATCTTCCTTTCCTAAAAGGTCTCAATCAATATGTAATTCTAGTTTTTCCATCATCCATTCTGATATATGGGGACCTAGTCGTATCTCCTCATTTGGTTTTAGATATTTTGTTACCTTTATTGATGAATATTCAAGATGTACTTGGGTTTATCTTATGAAAAATCGTTCTGAATTGTTAGCTATCTTTACATCTTTTTTGAATGAAATCAAGAATCAATTTGGTCAAGTAATCAAAATATTAAGAAGTGATAATGCAAAAGAGTATTTCTCATCCTCCTTTT